GATGAATTGTAGAAAATTTCATAAGCTGGGCAGAATGTCTTATTGCATGGATATTGGGTTTGTATAACTCTAGTTATGATCCTAACATGAAGCTGTTATTTCTAGTCCAGAAATAGACATATGCTAGTTGTGGTTGTTTACTCCATGTGTTGCTAAGTGTGGCTTATGCCCTTGTTGATGGTCAAGTTATGATACTTGTGACCTTGTTAAACTTGTGTCATACTTGATGTACTTGCTCTCTATGGTTAGTTGTGTGATGTTAGTTAAATAGCTATTGGTGTCTATGTTTTGCATAATCTTGTGTTACCATTCATCACATTCATACACATGCATCTTGCATCTCATTTAGGTACGCTAGATGAACCACGTGAAGGATGTGATGTGGAGCCGAACTCGAAGATTGGGTTTGGTGGATCTATCCCGAAGATGGAAGGACTAAGCAAGTGCTAGGACCGGAGGTGTCACCAAGTCGGTGCAAGCTAACTGAGCTGACTTATGTCGGATCCCAGGCAAGCCCCGGAGCATTATAAGTCTCCTACTTTATAAAAACAATTCTTTCTATATATATATATATGAGTTTATATATTGTTGCATTAAGTTATAGGAGTTGATTGAAACCGTTGATGCATTTATTACTATCCTTGCCTACCTTATTATCTTTTACCCTGTTAGGTCAGGATCGAATAATTGCTTAGCCTTGCTTAGACCGGTAGCGATCGGTGATATCCAGTCACCTACATTATATGTGGTTACTGGAAGAATTTAGCTATGGAAAGAATGATATCCTAGAATTAACCATGTGTGATGAATAATTGGAGACCGGACGGAAAAAGTTGGAGGCAACCAGACAGCGTTCTGGGGTGCTGTTAGTTTCTGTCTGTGTCGATTAAGGACCGATCGTTGCTCGTCCCTCTTGTCATGTTGAACGCATGCCTCACATTTAGCTGGCCGAATAAAGTACCTTTCGACCGCGAAGCTAGTGACACTATTTCGAGCCAGGATAAACTCGGATGCGTAGACTGGTGCTGAAGAGGGTATGACGGGGACGCGAAGGGTGAGCCCAAGGTGCGTCCTGGCAGTCGGGCGGTCCCTGGGTAGTGCGGTCCATGACTGTTATCCCGCGGCTACTTGGAAAGTGTTATTGATGATCTAAGCGACCCTGACAGGGGAAACGTGGTTTGTGTGAAGAATAAATCACCAGCTGGTTAGGAATCGATTCGAATCGCCATCGCTCCTGGATAGTGAGCACTTGACTCGAGCTATGGCATCGTAGTAATTATTATGGAACAATGATGGTTATCTGGATGGTATGGGATATGCTAAATCTAAATTGGTAACTAGATGTTATTGGTTAATCAAGTGATTGCTATGGTACAGGTGCTTACCTAGATGGATAAGTCATAATAAAGATGATGCAAAGTATTTAAAATGGTTTCTTCATGATAGCTTATGCTTTTCGCAAACGAGTCAGCTAGCCCACTAAAGAAAGCCTTGCATAATCCTTTGTGTCACTTTATTTCTGGTTTACGACGGGTAAGTCTGGCTGAGTACATTCGAGTACTCAGGGTTTATCCCACCTTGTTGCAGGTGAAGTTCTCGACCTGTTGATGATGGTGGCTAACCACCGGTGGGCTCGGTGATTCTATACTTACTTCTCATCTATATGCTTTTGTCGGATGATGTCACTTATGCTAGCAATATATTTGGAACTTATATTAATGTAATCATTTGAAAGCTATGTTGTTTTCACTAAATGGTTTTGAAACCCAAACTGGTACTCTTATTTATGAACCCATTTGTAATATTATTTCTGCTGCAACCCTGTGTATGTGATGTGTATTTGCTTAATCCCGTGATCTTAGTTCTGATGTTGATTTACAGAGGTCTTTCGGGACACTCGACGGACTACCGGGTTTATATGAGTGAAAGTATGCGCGTATCAACGTGTTAGCGGGGACAGCCGTATTTGATCTTGTATAAATTGGGTGGTTCTGTCACAAAGTTCCCCACTCAGTGCTCCTTTAAAAAAACAACCATCTAATCCAACAACTTTCCTACACCCTACCATGAATCCCTCCTTGCAAGCATTAAGGCATATGTACATCCTTCTAAAAATTGGTGGCTCCACATCATCCTCCTTGTTAATTACAGTTGATAGTCATAAAGCCTTTTGCTTTCTTCACCTTGGATATGCTTACATCTGCAAACATTTCTTCTCTGATAGTACTCTTCATCCTCGTGATATTCCATGTTGGGTTTGCCATGATAAATTTCTCGTACTTCTCAGCTATCCTCCTAGCAGTGACATGCTTGTTGTCCATTCTAGGAGGACAAGTATGCTGATCAATGAATGTAGCAATCTGCCAGCTATTTGTTCTTGAATTCTTAGAACACAAACAAACCCAAGGACAATGCTGCCAGTCACATTTAGCCCTTACCCTTGTTGGTTCATCTTTTATGAACCTTATTACCTTTCTGTTAGCTAGACAATATTTTATGATAGCTTCCTTGAACTCCTTTTTGCCACTGAACTTCATCCCTATTTCAAATATAGGAACTGAAAACTGTGCATTAAACCTCCTATAATGACTTGGCTTCCTTCTCAGTTCCCCATCAGTACCAACCTCTTCAACTGACTCTTCATCATCACTTTCCTCATATGCTGTTCTATCTTCTTCCCCTTCAATGGCTAAATATTCTGTTAGCTGTGATTTGTTCTCTGCAAGAATGATATCATCTAGTGTAGCATGTTCTCCTTTCTTCAACTTCTTCAATTCTTTGAATTTCTTTAGAATCTCAGCGGCTTCTTTGTCATCTCTAGATGAGCATGTATCTCCTGTGAAATCACTGTCATAGCCTGAGCTTGAATCTTCTTCCTGAATTGCTTTGCCTTTCTTCTTGTATGTACCCTTCCCCTCATCGTCAGACACTGAAATAACAAATGGCTCTTCAACATATATATTTGCAACTTCGCTGCCCATAATGGAGTCAGACATGAACTGGCAAACTTTATCATCCACCAGTACACGCAAACCATCATGTAGCTCTTTACCAGGAAATAACCAATGCAATAAAACTCCATCATGTACATTGTAATGATCACGCAAGCGTCCCACAACCTCTGGCAGAGAAATCTTGTCTCGATCAATATAAGACATTGCAGTCTTCCCCCGAAAATAATGCAATATCTTGCCATCTTTAAAAAACTCTCCACCAAAACAGAACCTCACAGCCAGTGAGTCCGACACATCCATGGCCTACATACATTAAAAAAATAATACGCCTTCATTAATCCCACTGAAGGGCAGGCCTGGTGCAATGGTGAGAGCTGTCTCACTGAGTCACCAGGTCATGGGTTCGAAGCAGTTTCTCCGTATATTTTGCGGGGGAAAGGCTTGCCTCGGTTTTTCCCTTCCCCAGACCCCACTCACGTGGGAGCCTCCGGCACTGGGTCTGCCCCTTCATTAATCCACTAATATAGATGCAAGTAAAGAGCACCCAAAAAAAACTGGTAGCTCTCGTCTCCTATGCCTAATAAACAATGGATCTCCAAAAAGCAAGTCCCAGGGAACCCGGATCCAAGAAAAAAATAATTATTCCATGCCTAATTAACTCATTAGGAGTGCGATTCCACAAACCTGGTGCGCTTTGTGGCAGCAAAGGCCTTCTGAATCCTCTGGACACCCACCAGATCCGCCTACTGCAACGGCACGTGCGCACCACCCACCAGCCGCCCGCCTCCGAGGGAAAAGAAAAAGAATCCCAGCTAGGGTTACAGGTGGTCACGGGCACATTTTGACCACCCTCAATGGCCTGACAAGCGGTACATGGAGGTTTCGTGTCCGGTTTTAATAATTCAGAGAGTCTAAATGCCCGGTTTTGGAGTTGAGGGAGGAAAAACGAACCCGCCCAATAGTTCAGGGAGGTAAAAATGACTTTTTCCTAGAAGAAATGTTTTAGAGTGGCTTGAAGTGTAGGCCTGAGATTAGCAGATCACCACTGATAGTTCCATAGTTTCTTCATAGAGGCTTGAAGCCAATAGATGGTTGTGTGACAAGTCGACTAGCGACTACATGATGCAGTAAGTGACTCCAAAAGACACTGACAACATTCTTATGAGTTCGACGATAATTTAGGAGGGAGCAAGACGAATTTAGAATAGGATGCGCAAGGTAATAAATTAGAAGAAGCCAAGGAATTAAAGAAATTGTGAGATACTTGGGCAATAATGGTCTTATTGAGTATTGGAGCTCAACACAAAAGAATCTTAAGGCTACCTTGATTTGGCATTGACATAATTTGCACAGATGGGGTAGGGATTAGAAGAGAAAAGAAAAACGATGGTTGTATGAACCAAAAAAACAAAACTGTTTGGAAGAACATATTTTCAAGTAAACAAAAATGAAAGCATATATAAAAAAAATCCCAACTATCCACTCTATTTGCGTGAGCTATCTTGCTAATTACTTAGAGCGTCTGCAAGGGACTCTGCATGTCTCTTTATTACAAATTTTTTAAAAAGAAATAAAAAAAACATGATTCAATAGACTTTCTGAGACATTCTCTATCTCTTCCGTTCTCCGGTATGGCTCTCTAAATAGAATATATGGTAGCGTTCTCATGATTTTTTTTCACAGAAGAAAAATTATGATAAACTATCAGAGTATAGCGAACAAACATTAAAGAGTCCTTGGAAGACAAGAGAGATATAAAAATGTACTCTATTCATTAAATAATTGTGTAAGTTGAGATATAGAGATTGAAATTCATAGACTTCTGGAGTTGCTCTAATGTAAGTACAACTGTGTCTCCAACCAATTAAGCAGCACAAAACACAACCTGCAGGAGATACAAAAACAATCCATGCAGGTGACGGAACTGAAGCAGGAGCAATCAAGCTTGTTACTGCAGCACTGCACCATGCCATCCTGCTCGCATGGCATCTGTATTGTATTCTCTGTGGTGTACTACATGCATGTGTGGCACGCGTCTTTCCATCATCAGTCACCTGAAACCTTGGCCGCCGCCGCCGACGACGATCCACCCCATTTCTGTATCCTGGAGTGCGCCTCGCTGGCCTCCTTGTCCCAGTTGGTGCGCAGCGTGATGGCGACCAGGATGAGCGTCTGCAGGCCGACCCCCGAGAGCATGCCGCCCCACATCCCCTGCACCCCGCCGCGCAGCGGGAAGGCGATGAGGTACCCGACGGGGATGCCGACGAGGTAGTAGCAGCCGAGGTTGACGTACGCCACCAGCCACTGCCAGCCGGCGCCGACGGCGACGCCCGACAGCACCGGCTGCACGCTGTTGAGCAGCAGCGAGAAGGCGAAAACGACGCCGAGGCTGGCCACGGCGCGCACCACCTCGGGGCTCTCCGTGAACGGCGCGCCGTAGACGTCGCGGAAGGCCAGGACGAGGGCGAAGAAGGCAAGCCCGATGGCCACCGACGACATGAGCACCACCAGGATCGCCAACTTGGCCGCGCAGGGACGCCCGGCACCCAACTCGTTCGACACCCGCACGCTGATGTCGGCGTTGAATCCGAAGAACACCATGATCTGCCACCCGAGCAGGTTGGTGCTGTGATTCGTATGCAGTGCAGAAGCAGCATGGAGACCGAGCCGGCGTTAGAACTGCAGCAGAGAAACCGTTTCATGTGAAACACGTGACTACTCACCAGATGGAGACTGCGGCAACGGCGACCCGAGCGTTCTCCAGGTTACCGACGATGACGATCAGGAACATGTAGAACCAGAACTCCAGGCTACATACGTGAGAAGGAACGTGCGTGTCAGCAGTCAAAGGCTCGAAGCAAGATCATCTTTTTAAAAAGAAAAGAAAGAAAAGAAACAGGACAACAATAATCCAGTAGTACGAGATGCACGCACCAGAGCATGACGGCGGAGCCGAGGGAGAGGCGCGCGAAGCCGAAGAGGTCGGAGAAGGCGAGGCAGTCGAATCCGTTCCAGGCGCCGGGGCAGTAGCCCATGAGGATGTAGACGAGCTGGCCCAGCACGACGAGCCACCAGGACGCGTTGAGCGCGACGGCGAGGCCGACGAGCCCCATCCGCATGGGCCCGACGAGGACCCAGCTGAGCGCGACGTGGAACACCAGCGCGACCGCCGACATGGCCGCCATGGCCACCACCTTGCTCTGCGCCTGCAGGAACTTCTGGATGGGGAAGTTGAAGGCGTAGGCGAAGAGCTGCGGGATCATGTAGAGCGCGAGGCGGCCCACGAGGTCGGCGATCTCGGCGTCCTGGTGGAAGAGGCGCAGGATCGGGGTGGCGAAGAGGTAGAGCGGGAGCATGAGCACGGCCATGGCGTTGAGGATGATCCACGACCGCTGCAGGTACACGCCCAGCATGTGCAGCTGCTTCGCGCCGTACGCCTGCCCGCACAGCGTCTCCAGCGCGCTCCCCATCCCCAGCTGCAACAGAGTCTTTTTTATCCGTGCATGTGTGGCTGGCCTGCTTTAGATTACTGATCTTGTTTCGTTGACTTAACCAATTACTTGATGAGTATTTTTGACGGCAGGTGTCTGGCACACCGACGATCGTGCCAGGCGCCAATGGATCGATGTACTCCACTCGGGCATCGAGAATGGATCGAGAATGCGCAGTGGGTATAGTATACAGACCATGATGACGAAGGCGAGGCCGGCGATGACGTTGTTCTCGGTGGAGATGGCGTCGAGCTCGAGCGTGGTGAGGTGGCCGGCGAAGACCTGGGTGATGGCGCCGAGCGAGTACTGCGTGATGGACGTGATGATGGCGGGGGCCGCCAGGTACCAGAGCTTTCGGTTCTCCTCCGCCGCGTGCCGCAGGAACGACCCCACGCTCCGGATTGTTAGATGATATGCATCATAGTTATCCTAGACAACCGAGTCATGCGGTGTACAGCATATGTATAGGGAGAGATTATTAGAGATTGTTAGGATAGACACATGAGGTTGTTGTGTAACTACCGTGATGTAATCCAAGCCCGTGAGGAGGCGTTTCCCTGAATATATAACATGCAGTCCAGAGACCAGACAGGTCATCTGGTTCCCCCATTTTCTTATATGGTATCGAGCTTTTCTCGTTCCTCCCGGAACTGATCCTCATGGCCGCCGGCTCTTCCTCCTCCGCTGCCATGCCGGCCTTCGCTTTTGGCTTCCTGCCGCCCGTCTCCGAGAAGTTGACTCGTGCCAACTACAATATGTGGCACGCGCAAGTCTCCTCCACCATCAAGGGCGCGCAGATGGGGGACTACATCAAGACCGGCGCTGCTCCACCCGCGGCGCTCATCGATGGCGCCGTCGATGCGACCGGCAAGAAGGGCGACCCGGTGCCCAACCCCGCCTACCAGACGTGGATGATTCAGGACCAACAGGTCCTTAGCTACCTCTTCTCGTCCTTATCGAAGGAAATCTTCGCGCAAGTGTCGTCTGCAACCACCGCGGCCGAGCTGTGGGCTGCGATCCATGCCCAGCATGCCTCCCAGTCTCGTGCCCGCATCATCTCCACCCGGATGGCGTTGGCCACGGCGTCCAAGGGCACATCGTCCGTCGCCGACTACTACACCAAGATGAAGGGCCTCGCCGACGACATGGCGTCGGCGGGCAAGAAGCTAGAAGACGAGGATCTCGTCACCTACATCCTCACGGGCCTTGGTGAGGAATTTGAATCTATCATTACTGCTTTGTTGCCAGCGGTCGAGCCCATCACCGTTCGAGCTTTATGCTCGGCTGATCGCGCCGCACGGCGCAAGGAACTGAACTCGCGGCGGCACCGGTTTTCGCCAACGCCGCCACCAAGGGCAACCGCGCGTGGTGGGGCTCCTCCAACAATCCGCAGCGGCGCGGCGGTGGCAATCGCGGTGCCTTCGGTCGCGGCGCTGGGGAGGCCGTGGCCGTGGCAACAACAATGGCGGTGGCGGGAACGGCCATGGCGCAACTTCCGGCCGGGGTCTTCGCCAAATGCAGCAGGCAAGGAAGGGCACCGGCGTATCGCTGCCAAAGCGCTTGACAACAACTACAGCGGGACACCTCGGAAGAGCGTCTCCTCGGCCACGTCCAGTTAAATGCGGCGTGAATACGAACTGGTATGTGGACAGTGGTGCCACCGACCACATCACCGTGAATGGGCGCCTCACCACCCGCAACAAGTACCACGGCGGCGACAATGTTCATGCCGCGGACGGCGCAGGTATGGAGATTACACATGTCGGTCATAGTACTGTGTCTTCCCCTAGTAGAGTTTTTCATCTAAATAATGTTCTCCACGTTCCACAAGCAAATAAGAGCCTTTGTTCAAGAAATCAACTTGCTAGAGATAATCATGTTTATCTTGAGTTTCACCCCGATCATTTTTGATCAAGGAACAGGGGGACGATGAAAACTCTCCACAAAGGCCGATGTGAAGGAGGGCTCTATCCGTTGCATGCATCATCCACCTCTCGCCGTCATTTTCATTTTCCAATAAACAAGTCTACACCGCCGTCAAGCCTTCCACCTCCACAGCGGCATCACCGCCTCGGCCATGCCTCATCTCTCGGTCGTCAAGCACGTCTTAGATCGGCATAGACTCCCTTTGTTCTTGATTCCAATAACCAAATGAATTTGTGATGCATGTCAACAAGGCAAAAGTCATCAATTGCCTTATCCCAAGTCATTAGTGGGTCCAAGGGTCCTCTGGATCTTATTTTCTTTGATGTTTGGGGTCGTGCTCCCACATCATTGGGCGTTTTGAATATTATGTTTCCTTCATTGATGATTATAGCAAGTTCACTTGGATTTACTTAATTAAATCATAAATCGAGGTATTCAAATGCTTTCATACGTTCCAAACCCTTGTAGAGCGCCAGGTTTGACGCAAAATTCTTGCAGTTCAATCTGATTGGGGTGGCGAGTACCAAGCGCTTAATTCCTTCTTTAATAAAATTGGCATCGCCCATCACGTCTCTTGCCCTCATGCACACCAAAGAAATGGCTCTGTGAAAGCGAAAACACCACCACCATATTGTAGAAGTGGGTCTTTCCACCTTGCCCATGGCTCTCTTCCTCTCAAATTTTGGGATGAAGCCTTCTTGACCATTGTCTACCTCATTAATAGGTTACCTTCTAAGGTTCTCAATGATGATACTCCGTTTGAGCTTTGTTTGGTGAGACTCAGTTATAGCCATCTTCGCGTTTTTGGTTGTGCAAGATGGGCCTAATCTTCATCTTATAATACTCGAAAACTTGAGTTTCGTTTCTAAAATAAAGTCGTATTTCTTGGGTATAGCACACTTCACAAGGGATACAAGTGTCTAGATCCAAAACAAGGGCGTGTATATGTATCTCGAGATGTCATCTTTGATGAACAAGTTTTCCCCTTTGCGTCCCTCCACCCCAACGCTGGTGCTCGTCTTAGAAAGGAACTTGAGCTACTACCTGATGTCCTTTTAACCAACTCTACTAGCCTCGGGGATTCACAATTACTTGATCTGCAGGGTGTATCTCCTAACACTGCTAATGCATCGGCAAGTTCTCCTGTCTCTGGTGTTGACATAGGTACAGTTGGCGGCGAAAATGCGGTGCAAACGGAGCTTGGCACGCGCTATTTCATGTGTTCCCCGTCGGGGCACAGCGCGCGATCCGAGGTCGATCTGCTTGACGGCACTGCTGGCGTCGGCGCATCACACTCGGGATCCGGCGCGGACTCTGGTGGCAGTACGGTGGTCCGTCCCGACCACGTGGAGGCGTCACACGGGGCCACTGGGATTCCCTCGGCGAGCGCGGGGTCTTCTACGCCAAATCCCATGCCACAGCCCTCACCCGCCGGGCTCAATGCTCCACAGCCAGATCCCGCTGGCGCGGGGACCGTCGCCGACACCTCGACATCGCCTACTCCTGAGGCTACTGTACAGATCCTCCCCGCGGGATCTTCTGCGGCTGCTGCGCCTGTGCCTCCTTCGTCCTCGACAGCTGCTCCTTCTACTGCACCGATGCCTGATCGCCCTGCCACTCGACTTCAACGTGGTATTCGCCAGCCCAAGCAGTTCACTGATGGCACGGTGCGTTGGGGCATGCTTGCCAGTCACACTGCAGAGGAACCTTCCACCCTTGATGCAGCTCTTAATGATCGCAATTGGAGTGCGGCAATGGACAATGAGTATCAAGCCTTGATCAAGAATCAAACCTGGCATCTTGTGCCTTGTCCGAAGGGCAAGAATATTGTTGGCTGTAAGTGGGTTTACAAGCTCAAACGCAAGGCTGATGGCACAATTGACCGCTACAAGGCACGACTTGTTGCTAAGGGCTTCAAACAGCGTTATGGCATTGACTATGAAGAAACTTTTAGCCCAGTTGTCAAATCAGCCACTATCCGTCTGATTCTGTCCGTGGCTGTGACAAAGGGATGGTCGTTACGTCAGCTTGATGTTCAAAATGCGTTTCTTCATGGCTTTCTTGAAGAAGAGGTCTACATGCACCAACCTCCCCGGGTATGCTGACAAGGCCCATCCTAGCTATGTATGCAAGTTGGATAAAGCACTTTATGGCCTGAAACAAGCTCCACGGGCTTGGTACGCTTCGACTCTGCAATAATAAGTCGCAAGCACTTGGCTTTGTTCCCTCACGGCGATACCTCTTTGTTCTATTATAACAAGGGCTCATACACCATGTTTGTCTTGGTATATGTTGATGACATCATTGTGGCAAGTTCCTCTTCATCGCCTACATGAGCTCTACTTAAAGATCTCCAAGTCGAGTTTGCTCTGAAGACTTGGGCGATCTTCACTTCTTCCTCGGATCGAAGTTAAAAGAGTTGGTGATGGCTTGTTTGTTGTCTCAAGAGCGCTATGCCACTGATGTTCTATCCAGTGTCAGTATGGACCGTGCAAAGCCGATTGACACGCCATTATGCGTCTCGGAAGCTCGGTCTTCTCATTGAGATCCACTTAGCCACAAGATGCCACTCGCTTCTGAAGCGTTGTTGGAGCTCTTCAATACCGACGCTAACACGGCCTGATCTATCCTTCTCTCACAACAAAGTGTGTCAAGATCTTCATGCTCCTACAACTGTTCATTGGAGTGCGATCAAGCGAATATTACGCTATGTGCGTGGCACGATTAGTTTGGGGCTCAAAATCAAGAAGTCGAGTTCTATGCTTGTTAGTGCTTTCTCGAGATCTTGATGGGCGGGGTGTGTTGATGACCGCCGTTCCACTTTGGTGGCTTTGCAAAGAGTTTACGGGCAGCAACTTGATCTCATGGATGGCTCGGAAACAAGCTCACTGTTTCTAGATCAAATCTTGGCACCGGAGTACAAAGCGCTAGCTAATGCAATGCCAAATTATGTGGGTACGAAATTGCTTTGAAAGAACTGCAGATTTGGTGTCCTTCAGTTGCACGCCTTTGGTGTGACAATTTGGGAGCTAAGTATCTCTCTGCAAACCCCG